TTCATTCGAAGTTCCTTCAGGGTGGGAAGTCTCAAGTTAGTGAGTACTGTCCCCTTTTCACTTCACCCTTTTTTAGAAACAATTTTGAAACAGAGAACCGTCAGGTCCGGTACATTCTCAATAATCAGCATTGGCGTCTGAAGAGCGATGTGCAGCTTGGCATGGCAGGCAAACACGGAGGATGTTTGACCTTCTTCATACATTCGACGACCACAGGGACTCATGTCAGGACAGGGCAACCCTGAAATGTCATAGTCGGACTGGCAGGTTTTCGCAAAGATTGGGCACTCCTTTCCATGTGTGTGACAATATTGCTTCAGCATCAGCGGAGCCCTATCAATCGCTCGCACCCTGGCGTCAAAGGACGCCGACGAGTCAAAACTGCCTTGTGGCACAACTTCAGTCAAGTCTCCAAAAACACATGGCTCAGGCCGCCATGACCCTGTCGCGGTTTTGTACCACAAGTGATGGTCACGAATCAGTTGACGGCGTTTCGCGCTGATTTCCTGAGGGTCGATTCAATTAAAGGTTCGGTTTAATAGTTACTGAATTTGAACATGAATCAAAACCACCTCACATTGATCCTGTCAGACGTTCAGGTTCATTACATTCTTCCTGTCATGTCACTTGATTTTCCGATAAACAACCACTGAGGGCATGACATGTGCGTGAATTGGGGTGAAGAAGATTGGGATGTCCAGTTCCCCACTGCAATTGATGGTCTTCTCCACCACGCCTAAGGCCATCTCCCCTGAGAAACTGCCACTGCAGCTTGAGGACGTGAAGGCGACTGACGTCAGCATTGATGCCTGCCAGCCGCCGGTCGTCTATTGCTACTTACTACTATAAATATAAATATATATCTTAATACTTACTAGTAATGTCCATATTAAAATATATATTATATACATAGTCTCTAAGACTCCTAGCCTTTATTATATCCACAGTTGAGAGTCTTTCTGATCACTGAATCGAATCGTGACGTGTGTCATGTGAGACGACTGTTGTCAGGGTCAGTGCCAGCCTCCAACTGTTCTTTCCCGATTGAAGCGACTAAATGGCGCCAAGCCAACTGAATTGAATGAGCAGCCTGTGCTAACCTAGGCCTCAGTCGCAGGTCCTGCATGACTGTCAAGTCAAAATAATGAAACGATTCGGAATCGAATCAAATTGTCACTGACTCATTCTAATAAAATCAGTTTATTAACAGGGGTCCTCCAATGACTCTGATGGAATCGCTTGACTTGACGACTGGGTCCAGTCTGGCGCGTCAGAGTCGGTGAGGCTTCTCCGAGACGAAGCTGTGACATTGCTGCTGCTGCTGAGTGCACTGGGAGCAGCCATCTGAGATCTGCCAGTCTGACTGACAGACAGAGTTATTAAAAGCAATAATATGAATGAATGCAAATATGTGTCCGTACCTGACTGAGAATCTAGCTAGGCTCCTTTTGGGTTGTGATATTAGTCATTAGTGAACACGTATTTATTTCGTGACAAACTTGAGCCAACGTTCCTGCCTGTCAGACAAGAGAGACTCAGTGAGCTGAGTGCCGACTCTGTCTAACTGGTCTGAGACACAGTCACCTATTTAATGACCCCGTGTTTGTGTTGCAATTCTGTTGGTGACTCTTTGCACTGGATTCGGGGCGGTGTCAGTCTGACTGACTTGGGATCAGACGATTGGCGGCGCCCATCCACCACATTGACACTGTGGGCACCAGATCCACAGCAATTCTGTGGCCCTGCTGCCAACCGATGACGCATCCATGTAAACCTGGCCGGTCTGATAGGCAAGTTGACAGATACTAAACTGATCTTGGTAAGGTACAAGCTACTTGACTGTGTTGTCATGTTTCGCCATCAGATTGAATCGAATTCGTTAAATCGAATCTAGTCTGCTTAAGTTGACAGACAGCAGTGCTGGACAACCTTTTTTTAGTTAGTAGTATGTCAGTCATGATCGATGACGTCGATTCCATGCCAGCACCAGTCAGTCACACCCAGACTCAGGGCTGCGCATGGAACACACGCTTCTCTCGCAGCATGTTGAAGAAGGCAATGAAGTAGGCGAACTCAAACGCATAGCGTTTGAGTTGAGGCATTCAAAACACAACCCTGAGACCGAGTCAGAATGCAAAGCATATATATTTAATTTATGAGGGCAGTGCTGGAGATATGCTGCCTGAAATTACTTCTTCGTGTCACGTACAGCAATTGGACTCATGACATGATGCGCTTCGAAAAAAACGATTGGGGTCCCTTGCCATAGCCGGAGAAGCCACATTTCGAGTGCTCATATGTCGTCCTGCTTTTGGGCCTAGCGTTTTGATTGCTGATGAGATCAGCTTTTCCTCGGCGACGCGACACGTAACGACACAGCTTGGACTGACTGCATTTTTCCCCTGTCAAAATATATTTGTACAATAGCTAAGACTTAGCTTCTCTGGGACATGGAATGCAAAAGTAACAATTGCCAAGTTTTTGACATGAATCCTCGCCACACCAAACTTTCTCAGCAATTTCTTGAACCCAAACCCGTTTCACTGCTGATCTCATCTTTCTTTTGTTCTTGAAGTCAATACTGTCTGCTAGTCGATCCAGATTCGATAGTCGTCGTGAGCGGTCCAAAATCACGCAAATCTCAGACATCAGATCCAGGACTGGGCTCACCACTGCGTCTTGCATCTCCACGCCGTGCTGGGGATCCAGGCAAAAGCAAATAAGCTCAGCTAGACTCATCTTGGAAGCCCGGCCATCATGAGACATCAACCAGTCTTTTTTGTTATTTTGATAGTCATTGCGCCACGTTCGGCGAACGGAACTAATGAAGAAGTCTGAGTCCCAAAAAACACGTCCATCCACAAATCCATTCCCATCCACGTGCAGCTTCACTGGAATGTCAGAATCGTGTCCTGCTGGCCAGTGATCTAGTTCAAAGCCCCCTGTTGAGCTGCACACGAGGTGAATAAGGCTAACAAACGCTGTGCACGCAGTTGCCCTGTCAAGTATAGTCCGGTATTTGTTGGACACAGCAAACACTGCAAAGGCGACAAAGGCGGATGACGACATGGTCTTCTCATTGAACCACATCTGTTGAAGGTTGTCATTAACAGACTGCAAATGGTGTTTTGTTCGCATCTTCTCAATGATGACCCCCGGCCAAATCTGTCGATGAACGTCATCAATAGTGTTACTGGCTTTCCGAAAGCTTGCCAAAGCCTTCTTGGGGTTCTTTGTGCGCAAGAATGGTCCAACTGCCTGTGCCCGACAGCGTGCGTGAAAATTCAAGTCCGTGTTGTACTGCAATACTGCAAACGATGATCTTCAAAACATCACTCTACACTGCAGATGAACCAGGCAACCTGAAACCTGAAACCTCCACGATAAACTAAAACAAACAGTCAGAAAACAAATAACAGACACAGACATGACCGTCAGTCTATTTATAATTGAATACCCTCCTGAAGCACAGTCCACTCAGTCTGCTTTGTCTGCGACAGATACACCACGATCGGGTGACCGCCCAAATGCACCAGGCCTCAACATTGCTGTCGATGGTGTAATTTAACAGAAACGTCTGCAGAAATATCTAATGAATGGGCAGGTTTCGGATAGTTACGGACTGGCGTCATCAGACCCAATCCCAAACGAAAAAATCTATGCAATCTTAACAACAGGAGTCTTGGCGACTGACCTTTCGAATGAAAGTCCTTTTCCGCTGGGCTGCCGCCGTCCATCGTCCTGAGGAAACTCCCAAAAATATACCCCCAAAAATATTCCATGTCTTCCACTCAGTCACTAGCAGTCACCACGTATTACAAGGCCCCTTTCCTCACCTCGCATACTTTCAATACTCTGGTCGATATTTGCCAAACACTGTTTCTCAGTCTGACTGGGGCGCTTGCGATGCAGGCCCAGACCATTCTAGGCAAACACAGATTTGAGCCCGTCTGACAGTCTGACAAAAAGCATCTGGCAAAGCTTCGAATCGAAGTCACACACGCAGTGCCATTGTGCACAAAACTGCAAAAAAATCTCAAGTCTGGTCCTGCTTCATCCCTCTTCTCTGTCGTTCCGTTAACTTAATCTAGATCTCCACGTCTCTCATGATTCTGCTGGACAGGCTGTGCTTTACTCATTATTGCACAAAAGTAGTGAAACTTTGTCACTAGGCCAAATTAACGTGAGAATAGTCTATTTTGATGTTATTTCCTTATTCAATGATTATTTTTTGTGTTTTATGATAACCTACTAATAAGTATCTATTATTGGTTTATTAGGAGTTTATTTATAACTGGGCAGGGGGGGGTGGGGTCAGGCAGGGGGGCATGTGGACTTCCATGATGTGATGGAGGGGAAGATGCAGCAAAAGCTACACCTGTCAAGGTGCTGTGTTTGTATAGCACCTGGCTCAACCCACGCACACTTGCTTGTGTTGGACTGACGTGGGACATAGATTGTTCATGATTGTTCAATCTATTTCAGAATTTCAAAAGTCGACATCTCCACTGAAGGACAGCTTGGCGAATCACTCCAACAGGAGTTTGAGCTTTGCATCTGGACTCAACAGTTTCCTTCATGTGAGAAAGCAAAGACAAGCCCAGTTGGAGAAGAGGTCATTGAGGCAGCAGTCGAATTTCTTTTGGTTTGAGTGATCCGCACTTTCAGAAAGCATGGAAGCCAGCTTTGCATCAGAATTTGCTGCAAAGCAAGCAGGCGAGTAGGGAATGCCGCATTTTCAATTTGCACGACTCGGTATCGCTCCAAGAAACAGGTATCCCCAGGTTTACGGGCAGGCAAATAAAAAACACTCGTCGTCACAGTCACAACTGCTCGGCCATTCTTTCTACCTTCGCGCATGTCAAAAGATGTGTGCTGCGATGGATGCAGAGAGGCCAGAGACAAAAGGAAGTTGCGTAAGAGTCCTTCGAGTGGCTATGATGTTGGTTTTGCTTGCAGCCGATCATCGTTCACATCCTACCAAAACCTCAGTGTGTGAGGTTTTGCGGTGCCTCTGCTCGTTGTGCGGCAAAGGCACGTCTTTTGACTTCACGCCATGTTTTGTGAGAGATGCCTATTGCACACCAAAATCAATAAGTATGGAAACGCACAAAACCAGAGCCAATGCGAGCCGAAGACAAAGAAATGCAAAGGCTTCAAACAGGACCCCGACGGGTTTGAGAGGTCCTCCTATGCACCTCCATCCCGTTGTCTGCGCGGTGGCCCAAAGACATACCGTTTCATCCTTTCGCAGGGCATGTGGTATGTTAAGAACGAGAGAAGACGCAACATGTGGTGTACAGCTGAACTGGCCAATGACATGTTGACTTGCCGGTCGGAAGATCGACCTCCTTGAACAACAATTGAATTGTGTAAAGCATAGGGTTTGGTTTGTCGTACAATGTTGTATATAGATGACAGAGGCAAGCCATACACTACCACTAAAACTTCTTTCAAAGCAGCTCAAGGCGATCAATTAAAGATAGACATCTATTAAGTCACTTGCGAGTTGGGTCTCCTGTAACAGCAGGTGCGTAGGTTGAATAGACCTTGGACATAGCATAGTCGCCACGTGCAGTACCCAGCCACCTACGCTTGCATGATTGCATGATGGCTAGTATACAGTAGTCACAAAAGTGTTCTGCATCGAACACAGAAGCTGCTGATTGAATGGGGAACAGGACACATCCCTGCATAGTCATGGAGGCCATTGCTATTAGGTTGGCTGTTTGCCGAGCTATTGAGCCGTGTTGGCCAGGTGATTTTCATCGGAGATGCACTGCTCAGCGTCCAGAGCATAGCTGGCAGATCTTTTGTGTGCACCTCTAGGATCTCCCATCAGTAGCTAGTGCTGAGGATAGTGCTCGCTTGCTTCCCTTTGATTAACTTTGCTTCGCTTTGCTTGGCTTAGTGGCCCGCGATGAAACGCTGTGATCCAATTGTTGGACGAGTCGATGTTATGTTGGTATGCAAATCATTGCTGGGTGCTGTTGTGTCTCAGGCCATGGGAAGATCCTTCATGGGTGGACGTGGGGGTGGTCTCCAACCGAGTATCATGGCGTGCCCCACAAGCTGTAGAAGCTGGAGTGGTCTGAATCTCTCAACGATTGGTTTTTGAACGCCAAGAAGTGGGGATGGATCTAAGCAGGGAACCCCTTCAACTTCATATCTTCTCGTGTGCAAGGAACTGGAGGCCTCTGCATTTTTGCAAAGGTGCATATTTAGCCTTGGCAGCATGCGTAAAGTAAGCCAAGGACCTTTGCAGGTTTTGCCAGCAGAGGTACATGGGCATTATGTGCCTTTCTGAGTCCTACCGGATCTACAGGCGAGAGGGGTGGCTTTGCAGGACCCCATTCCTGGCTTTGATTGTTCCTGTGGGAGGCTCTTCCAGGAGGAGCGCCTCTACACACATCCTTTGTTCGCGCTGGCGCGGTCAGACACCACTCGTGTGGTGGATCGCCATGGCGCCACAACGAGGCAAGGCAAGCTGTGATGCCATGGCGCCACTGTCCGAGTGGAGAAGCGGGTGATGAAGGTATAGAGCTGTGCAATGGGTGGAGCTGGTTGAGTTGTGGTCCATGGTTGTCATTTTAATCATTTGCCAAGCAACTGTTGAACATCAAGAGTTGAATTTAAGGAACAAGGATTTCTTGCATGTCCGCTAGGATCTGTAGACCCTACTGGAATCCAACATGCGATTCCTGTGTCCAGGTTGAACACTTCAGAGAGGGATGATCCAGAAGCTGCAGCCGCTCCTCAGGCGCAGTGTGAAGAAAATGGCGGTGTGGCTCGGACTCTTGATTAAGGTGGATATGTAGTTGGGTGTGTGAGGTGCTGACACGAGGTTTTTACCTTAGATCCCTGGAGTCCCGGTGGTTTATTACATCAAAATCGAGCCACATCTCGTGCATCGTGGGTTTCCACCGACCAAGGTAGCTAAAGCTCTAAGGATTCGTGAGGACCAGAAGATGCATGCTAAAACATGCTCAACCAACTGAGTGGGTGAGCCTTGGTGTAGAGGCATAACAATAGCGATAGCCTCCAACCTAATTACTAGCGATGGCCTCCAACCTTCTAGCGATGGCCTCCAACCTAACAATGATGTGCGCCACGTGTTGCTCGTTGATCCACAGTGACCGAGCTTGTCAGGTGCAGTTCTCCGAGATCCGTGCCTTCGCTGGGCAGGGCCGCTCCCTGGGAGAGGTGCTGGGGTTTGTCGGGTTCAGCTTATTCTTTTTCCTGCCGGTGTTTTTGTTTCTGTTTTCCCGAACGTGCAGCGAAGGGTTCTCGTTTAACTCTGGGGGTCTGGGGGTAGAGCCTTGTTCGCGACTCGTTGGCTGAGCGCGCTATGGCGCTGACATTGGGCGAAGCTTTTGGAGAGGGTTTTGGATGGAAGCTACGGCGCTGAAATTGTGTGAAATAGCCAGGAAATGTGTGGACCCATGAGAGGATGAAGTGTGGATGATGACTTCATTGCGCAGGCGCAACGTTTTGTCAGATCGGCAGTTTTCTGCGCAGTCACATTGGGATTGGCGTTTGGAGGGTGGTGTTCTGGGGTGCCGGAAGTGGCTGTGGCATTGGGATTTGCGTTTCAGGCTGTTCTTCGAGGCTGTGTCTTTCGTGACAAGTTTCAGCTCAAGTGGCAAATTTATGCAATTTTGGTGGATGTGGGTGTGTGCTCACAACGTGTTGAAGTCATTCCAAACGTGTGGTGTGGTGCGCATTTTGTTGAAGCTAACGTGATATGATCTTGTCACTTTTCGTGGCAGGCGCAGTACTTTGTGCGGGCTTTGAGGTGTGGAAGTGCAAGTGAGGTTGTGAGGTGTGGCGGAGGTCACATTTCGTGGCAGGCACAGTACTTTGTACGTGTTGGAGGTGTGGGCGTGCAAATTTTCGTGGCAGGCGCAGGGACCCGTGAGGTTGCGAGTTGTGGTAGGTGAATGTCGCTGGGACATTGGGACTGGCGTGTGAGCGGGTGTTGTTTGGAGGGCTGGAATTGCGAATCTGCTTGGCAGGGCTGCTTGATTTGTGTGGTTCGATGGGGCTTTCCGCTGGACTTTTGGAGGAAGTCTTGTGCGAAACGCTCGTTTTGGAGACTTGTGACATGTGAGCAACTATCGAAAGGGTTCACCTCAGCAGTATGTAGAGATGTGGAATATTTTCAGATAACCATGGAAGCGATACCAAAACACAAAAAACGATACCTGTTTCAATGCTCTATGTGCGCAAGCAATGTGTAAGTTTGGTGCACCTTGTTTGTGAGCTCTTCGGAAAGGAAAGGTAAGGTATACACGTGTGTGTGTGTCCCACCACTCTTTGAGACTCCACTTGATTCATTTGCGTACTCTTCACTTGTAGCAAGGAGCGCCTGAAGCAGAGATAGGGCAGGTGCCAACGAAGACGCCGATCTCTTGCTTGTGATACCGGCGGGAGATGTCCTGTCGATGCGCTTGCCTTTCATGTGTTCATTCCAAAAGCATAGTGTGTTTTAAGAAATGATCTTTTGGAGCGAAGCAAAAAACGATACCAATACGACACCAGAAACGATACCCAAACCTACGAAAATATGCCTGGCAAGACACTGGCCGAAGCTGAGTGAAGCTGACAGCGACATTTGCCTGTGAAAAGAGAGACAGGCTGCTTTTGTTTCTAAGGGTAGAATGGTAGAATGTGTGATTCTCCTTGGAAAACGATACCAAAACAAAAAACGATACCTTTCCAGCTATTCCATTTTCCATACAAGTGTTTTGATCATCGCTCATGTGACTTTTGGAGGAAGTCTCGTACGAAACGGTCCTTTTGGAAACTTGACGTGTGAATTTTGGAGGAAGTCTCGTATGAAACGCTCGTTTTGCAGACTTGACGTGTGAGTTTTTGAGGAAGTCTCGCGCGAAACGCTTGTTTTGGAGACTTGATGAGTGAATTTTTGGAAGAATGAAGTCTCAAACGACATGCTCATTTTGCAGACTTGACGCGTGACTTTTGGAGCAAGTCTCGCGCGAAACGCTACTTTTCAACACGTGACACACGTGACGGTTGAATTTGGAGACTTTAGTAGTAGCGCCCCGCAAGAGTGTCCCACAAGAGTGTCCTACAAGAATGCCCCACAAGAGTGTCCTACAAGAGTGTTCCGCAAGAGTGTCCCGCAACAGTGTTCGACAAGAGTGCCCTACAAGAGTGTCCCACAAGAGTGTCCTACAAGAGTGACATACGAGAGTGTCGGACAAGGGTGCCGCAAGAGTGTCCGACAAGAGTGCCCTACAAGACTCCCTACAAGAGTGTCCTACGAGGGTGTCGCAAGAGTGTCCCACAAGAGTGTTCCGCAAGAGTGTCCCACAAGAGTGTCACACAAGAGTGTCCCCCAAGAGTGTCCCACAAAGTGTTCCACAAGAATGTCCGACAAGACTATCCTACAAGAGTGTCCTACAAGGGTGCCCCAGAAGAGTGTCCTACAACAGTGTTCTGCAAGAGTTTCCCACAGCAGTGTCACGCAGTCGTACAAGAGTGTCCCACAAGAGTGTCCTACAAGCGTGTTCTGCAAGGGTGTCCCAAAAAGATTCCGACAAGAGTATCCTACAAGAGTGCCCCACAAATGTGTCACACAAGAGTGTCCGGCAAGAGTGTCGCGCAAGAGTGCCCCACAAGAGTGTCCCGCAAGGATGTCTCGCAAGGGTGCTCCGCAAGAGTGTCCCAAAAGAATGCCCCGCAAGAGTTTCCTACAAGAGTGACCCACAAGAGTGTCCTACAAGAGTGGTCCGCAAGAGTTTCCCACAAGAGTGAGTGTCGTACAAGGTCTCGCGCAAGCTTGACAAGGGTCTCCGACAAGGATGCGTCCTACAAGAGTGTCCCGCAAGAGAGTGTCCTACAAGAGTGTCTTGCAAGAGTGTGGTACAAGAGTGTCCCAGAAGAGTGTCCCACAAGACTTTCCCAACAGTGTCCCACAAGAGTGTCCCACAAGAGTTTTCCACAAGAGTGTCCGACAACAGTGTCCCACAAGAGTGTCCCGCAAGAGTGTCCCACAAGAGTGTCCTACAAGAGTGCTCCACGAAACTGGCCGACAAGAGCAAGAGTGTCATACAAGAGTGCCCCGCAAGAGTGCGCCAGAAGAGTGTCCCACAAGAGTGTCCCTCAGAAGTTGCAACTTGTAGCACAAATGTAATGGGGGAAGCAGCTCCTGGCAGCTAGGGCAGGCCACTTGGTAGTACACATGTAGTGCGGGAAGTGGCTTCTGGGAGGCGCGGCCTCAGAACTCTCCACTTGGTAGTGGACATGTAGCTTCTGAGAGCTGTGGCCTCAGAACTGGCCACTTGGTAGTACAAATGTAGTGCGGCAAGCAGTTTCTGGGAACTGTAGAGCTGGCAGCTTCGTAGCAGTTCCTGGCAGCTGCGGCCTCCGAACTGTCAACTTATGTGTCCAAATTACATCTGAGTACGTGAGTGTGTCGTACGTGAGTGTCCCACAAGAGTGCAAGATTGTCGCACAAGAATCCACAAGAGTGTCTTACAAGAGTGTTCGACGAGAGTGTCCTACGAGACTGTCCTGCAACCAACAGTGTACAACAGAGCGACGAAAGTGTCGCACGAGAGCGTTCTACGAGACTGTCTCCTACAAGAGTGTCATGTTTGAGCGTTTGTTTTCGAGTACGTGTTTGCATTCGGGTTCGTGGGTTCCATCTTGTTTGTTTGGATGATTCTGGACTTCTTACTTTACAGTATATAATCCATTTCAGTCAGTCAGCCGCGTTCAACGGCATCAAGGTGATCTCTGCCTCGTGACGGTACGTTTGTGTGTCAATGACTTGAATCTCGTGATTTGCTGCATGTTTGCAAACAATAAGAGCCAATTCATGGCCTACAAATCTTTGTCCACTACAGAGCTGAAAAATGAACAACATAGATGGGCGCATGCATAACATGCCAAGTGTGTGAATATAGTTTACTTCCTGACCGGGGGGAGTTTTTCAAAAGATGTCGCTGGACTTACAATACTTCGTTGGTCATGAACGCATGGCAGTTATTTGGCGGCCAGGCATGAGAGTGCTAGAGTCCCTAGGTGCAGCGGCTCTTTTCCGACCAATGCCAGGTGCCTTCAACAGCACCATACCAGTGGCTTTGCTGCAGGGCGGTGGCGGAAGGAATGTGCAAGGGCGGACAAAAGAGATTATATATTTCTAACCGGAGGAGGGCACAAACGTCCGGACCCCCACATTTTGGACGGCATGAGTGTGAGGCAAGTTAATTGGAGGCCAGGATAGGACGTGTTGTCTTTGCACCACAGCAGTCTCTTTCTGAGCTATGCAAGCTTCCAGCAGTTTGTGCTTTTGAAACTATATACAGCAAGTAGTCATCTACAGTTTTCCGCGATGTTCATCGCTCAACGCTTTCTCAGATGGAATACAATCGTGGGCGGCAAAGCCTCTTGCCCGATGTCAGGAATTTGGGAATGCCTGCAGACTCAAGGGCCGCATGGCCACTTGGTGGTGAAGGAATGATCAGCTCATTTGGTCGAACGAAGATGTCTAATCTGAGACTAGGAACAACAGCTTGTTGCTTGCACTAAGTGTGCACTGATTCCTGAATGTGTGAGTGTTCTTGAATCCCGTGCCTTCCACCATGCTGTCTCCACTGTTTTTGTAGCATGCACTGGTTGAACCAACTAGCAAATGATTCTTTGCGGATTTCATTCCGAAAGAGTCTTTTTTTCCTGCAGGTTGTGTTAACGGAAATAGAAAACCACCCAAGTGCATGAAATTCTTGTTTCTCTTGATCTGCAGTATTCCTTTCCTTTCGCATCGCATCTTGGTAGAACAAGTTCATGGAATTGGATTCAGGTTCCACACTGGCTGCAGGCTGAAACGAATGGAGGATGACCAAGCTCAGCGCAACAAGACTGTAAGGGAGTTGGAGGACATTGGTGCTGGCACCTTCAATTTACACTACTTCGGCCACACACACACAGTAACATGGCGGGTCATCATGCTGTGCCATGTTAGGAATTGGTCATCGCCCTAAGAGCGTACATGCATGCCTTGTCGTTGTGGCCGGCGCTGCAAGCAGCACTGTAGTCTCAAACAACGATCTCTGGATGGTTTCATCCAAGGAGATCTCGCTAGCCCTTTTGAACACTCTCTTCACCTTAGCAACTGCCCCGCCAGGATGAACGCCTTGTGGCAAAACGTTGAGAGCAGCGATGACAAGGGTCGTTGCACAGAAAGCTATGGATGGCTCATGTTGGCTACTTTTTGGACTGCAGCAATGCTCTATGACCAGATACGCCAGAAGGCGAATGGCCTGTTCTCTATAGGAAGCAGAGATAAACAGACCTCCTGTTGCGAACGTAATTATCAGTCAGACATCTGGGTGCTCCCCTGGCGTTCAACTTCTCATTGCACCTGACTTTGGAAAGCACAACTTGAACTATTGAACATGTGAAGGAAGAAAAACAACAACTACGTATAAGACAAGTCCAATCCGCGGTTGCTACATCTTTAGTTCAGGGTGCAAATTAAAAGCTCCATATAGGTCGGACTGGATCCTAGTTACCAGGGACTATCAGACACTAACTATTTAGCCGCACTTTGGTGAACCACTGAGATTGTCCAGCGCATTGGAGGTGTAACTTGGCGTGTATTCATGGCGTTAGAAGTGGAAGTGGTGAAGCCTTTGCAGCTGTGGCCATCCCAGAAGTTGCGAGGATTGCAGCGAAGCTGCCTAATCCCGTGGTCAAGTAGAGTCGAGTGCCTAACCTGGGCGGTGATTTAGAGCACGGACCTCAAGCAAAGGCTTCAAGCATGGAATGTGCAGAGATTTGATGGAAGCCCAGACAAAAGTGGATGTGATGTGACATGAGACATGCATTGTGAAACCAATGTCTAATATGATGTCTTTGGGTTTGTTGGCCTCGAAGAGTGGAGAGTAGCTTGAAGCCTTGGCGCCACTGTACAGACACGACGTGGACGTGGCGCACGCCGATCTGAACATAGCAGGAGACGACAAGGTGAAAAGGTGTGCACGATTTTGGCTTTCATCGAATGTTTTTGTGCGAAATCATGCAGTGCATTGAAAGGAAGAACACCAACATGAAAAAAGGAAAGGGTCAGGGTATAGATCCTCCCTTGAAGCGAGCCTTACCTTCCTTTTATTACTATTCTTCTTCCTTGACCAGCCCGCCCCCCACCGTGTACCTCTTACGACTTGGCCGGACCCCCCCAAGCTGATGTCATCTTTGCGCCGAGTGCCGCCTCTGTTTCCACACCCCTTTGAAGCAGAAGTATTGCCGATCGACACAGATCTGTGCAAGTCTGACTGAGCCTTTCCAGAGTTCAAGCTGAGAAGCTTTTCTGGAATGTGCTGTGTGCTCAACCTCGCCAGTTGCCAGTTTCAGTCTCGGCCTAGACACCAGGTAGGAGTTTCACGGTGTCGACCTGTTGAGCACCCTTTCTACTGCCGGTTTTGTACAGTCGCGGCTGGCGTTCTCAGAAGGGGGATGTTCTCCTGCAGCCCTGCACCCTCCAAGCATTCCGTGCGACAAGAGTACCTGGCTTGGCAGAAGTGGCTTGCTTGGAGGACTGCATTTTCACAGGTAGTGCACCAATGTGCACTCCAGCCCACTTTGAAACACCTTCATGGGAGCTTGGAAGCTATGCGCTGCATCACCCAAGACCGTTTGAACGTTTGAAGGCCATTGGCCCCAGGAGCAACCTCTCCACCCTGCTGGTACCGGAATGCAACGACAAAATGACCCTGGCTGCAAAGATGAATGCCAAGGCAACAACCAACAAAACCGACATCAACGCCAACACCATCACCCACTGCACCCGCCGACAGTGCCTCATGACCACAAAGACCAAAATCAAACCAAAGTAACTAAGCATAACTAAGCCAAGCGCAAGTAGTTCGAGTGGCCGCACTGAACCATTGGAAGAACTGCCGCTTGCCAGCTGTGTTCTTGTGTGGCGTGCCTTTGTGAAGAGGTGATGTGCCTTCCTGTCCATTCTGCAATTTCTGTCTCAAACTCAAAACCATGCCAATGCCAATCGAGATCAATCGAGCCAACAAGCCCAAATCGCCTGCAGCCAAGATCGGCAATTGTGTTGTTTATGGCAGTGGCATAAATTATATGGTTTGCTTGGGTGCCATTTGCCCTTCAACGTGCTGGATGGAGTGCGTGCCTGGTGACCTTTCTTAAATAGATTGCAGTACTCGTATTTGTTTGACATCTTGAAGCAACCTTTGATGGCTCCATTTGGTGATCTTCGAAGGCGTGCGTCAAAACTATCCCTATGTCGGTTCTATAATTACCCTGCGCGCCAATAGTTCTTTTCTATTGCTGTTGGTGACTTACGACTTGCATTTGACTCATGGTGCAGTCAGACTCATGGTGCTCCGGCTTGGCGAAGTCAAACACACAAGGAAGACATGATAATCACCTGGATGGCTGGTCCGATTGCCAGTGTCAAACCGAGAGCTCGCCAAGCCAATCGCAGTGTTTTGCGCCCCCAAGATGGCATGTCGTCGTGCAGTTTCGGTCGCGCGGGGGCTTGGCTCCGCCCAAGACAGAGAGGGAGATGCAGGGATGCCAATCTGTCGAGCACGGCGATTCGTTGTACAATCCACAGGCGCGCGGCGCGGTGCCGCACCGCCGTTGTTGAGCCTGTTTTCTCAATGACTCGAGCCTGTGGATGCCTGTGGTGTTTTTCACCGTTGACTTGGCACTGCGCTTTCGAACGTCTTCGAAGAATGGCTCACGCGTTTCAACCTAATTGAAGTTGGATTCGTTCAAAGACCTGGACGATGCGGAATGCTTGACATCGCCCACATGTGGAGACCTCCGCGCGTTTTGGAAGAAGAGTTCGGGTGAAGAACTGCCGGCCCCTGCAAGTGCCAAGCAATTGCCCTTGTTGGGCTCCTTGAGTCTGCCAGCCAAATTTGGTGCAGCGGATCGTGATGCCTTGCTGAAAGTGTTTGAAAGCAACTACCCAGGAGCCGCGCTCACTCCCGAGACAACCCCGTGTTTGCCCTATCTGCAGACTATCCAGAGCCAATGTCAACAGAAATCTTGGGCTTGGGTCCCATGGCGCCGGATCCTGTCCGAAGTAGCACTTTGTTTGGGATGTCCAAAGCCGCAAAGCGGTCACAAAAAAGAGGGATCTGACGGAGGTCTTGGCTGAGGCAGCAGGTCTCTGTGGTGAAGAGTGGGACTTGGACATGGGGGGGTCGCCCCATCGCATTTTTCAACCTCTTTGCGCTCGCTCACATGCTTACGCCCTGTTTGGCGGCGGCCATTTGCAAAACTGGCTGACGTACAGCCATTCATCATGCGATGCAAAAGAGGCCTCGCGAGGCCAGAAATGACCCTTTTGATCCCTTTTGTGTTCTGTGAGTCCGTGACCGCTGTTTTGTGTTGGAAGCGGTGGCAGGAGGACGAACAAATAACATCAAATAACTTATGCGTTGCCTTGCGGCCTGACGTGCGAGCAGCGCCTGAATAGCCAGCACCCCACCTTGCGTGCGAGCCGTGCTGGCTTCGTTGTGGCGGCCTTTATTGCTGCTGGTTGGTGCCGTGTTGGATTGGTTGAATGTTGCTTTTGTCATTTGCTGGGGTTGTGGCTGTATTGTTGGAAGGGGCCATTGGCGGCATTTGGTTGTGATGTCGAATACTTAGCAATTGCCAGCACCAAAAACCCGCCCTGCACTTGGTGGGAAGTTCGAGGCTTAGCCGCCTGCCACTGTGATAGTGGCACTCCGGCACTCCCATTCTTTAAATTGCCTAGGCTCAGACCTCTTCTTGCGAACATACATGGTTATATAACTATATATAACTATATATATATATATATTATACATATATATATATGATTCAAAACGCGTTGTGTAATGGCAACACGAAGGCGGGAACATGCGTGGAACCCACTTGTCTCCACTGCAGATGGGGAAAAGGCAATCGGTAGACAGAGGACAAGCAGTGTAGTTGGCAAACTTCAGCAACTGAAACCTCAGCAACACGGGTGGGATGGCAATACTGAATGGGAAATCTTTTCCCGAATGCGTAGCCAAGGGTCTTCGTTTAACTCTGGGGGTCTGGGGGTAGGATCTTGTTCGCGATGTATTGTTTCAGCCTCCGCAACCGTCCGCAACCGTTCGTGGTAGAGCGCTGCCATGGGGGAGGCTTTTGGACAGGGATGGAAACGTCAGCAAAGTCCAATTAGGTGCGAGGATGGGGGGGCAAAAGGCTGGGGAGTGGGGGGTTGTGGGGGTGAAATCTAAGGAGGTCACCCAGGTCGGGAATTCCAAGCGTGGCGGGCAGCTGGGCGTATGGTGATGTGGGGAGGTGTTGTGTCTTGTGTCTGGACAACAAACGAAGAGGAGTGGCTGCTTCCGTGCTCCAGTGACCCCCGATCTCCAAGGGGACCATGACGAGGCGGGCACGTCCTCCTCCCACCAGCCCCGGGCCGCTCCGGGTAGGTCCTTTCTTTTGCGAGCCGTGCCAGGCGCATTGCGGCTCCAGCTGTGTGTCGTTGGTGGCGACGGGTTGGGCTTGTGCTGTGAGTGGAGAGACAAGCGTGGTGTCGATGCTTCTGTGGCTTTTGGCTTTCGTGGCTTTCGTGGCTTCTGTGGCTTTTGTGGCTTTTGGTTTTCGTGGTTTCTGTGGCTTTTGGCTTTGGTGACTTTCAATCTACATTTCATCCCCGACACCCGCGCCTGCCACGAAATCAATATTTTAAGGTGAACTCCCCGGTGCAGAACTTTCTAACCAAGCAAATATGCTCCCTGTATTTATCTTTCTATCTTTCTATATGTGCATCTGCAGTTCCACATGCACAAAGTACCACACCTGCCACGAAATCTGCACTTCAAGGTCCACATAGTCTTTCGCCTAAAGTCCTTCACCTGCCACGAAATCTGCACTTCAAGGTCCACAAAGTCCGTCGCATGCCACGAAATTTGCACTTCAAGGGCCACAAAGTCACGAAAGGTAGCCTGGTAAGGACTACCTTGAGTTTGCTTTGCGAAGCAAAGGGACTGGCTTGAGAGCTTGCTCGGGACTAAAGATTGGTAGATCAATGTCTAACACCCCCACCCCCCCCGTCCCCCCCCCCCCATGTGATGAATCATTTATAAATCAATTGATTCCCCCCCCCCCCTCCCCCCCTCCAGGAACCCTCCCCTCCCCGTCCCCTCCCCTCGTCGCCAGCACTATTAGCATTCTGGACCCTGGACATAA